AGTTATTTGAACAAATAATGAAGGAGAACTTCCCTAATCTGGCAAAGGAAATAGACTTCCAGGAAGTCCAGGAAGCTCAGAGAGTCCCAAAGAAGTTGGACCCAAGGAGGAACACACCAAGGCACATCATCATTACATTAGCCAAGATTAAAATGAAGGACAGAATCCTAAAAGCAGCAAGAGATAAGGAGGCAGTTACCTACAAAGGAGTTCCCATCAGACTGTCAGCTGATTTCTCAAAAGAGACCTTGCAGGCAAGAAGCTGGAAAGAAGTATTCCAAGTCATGAAAGGCAAGGACATGTAAGATTGCTCTATCCAGCAAAGCTTTCATTTAGAGTGGAAGGGCAGAGAAAGTGCTTCTCAGATAAGGTCAAGTTAAAGGGGTTCATCATCACCAAGCCCTTATTATAGGAAATGTTAAAAGGACTTATCTAAGAAAAAGAAGATAAAAACATGTACATTAAAATGACAGCAAAGTCACAATAATTAATAACCATACCTAAAACAAAACCAAAAACAAACTAAGCAAACCACTAGAATATGAACAGAACCACAGAAATGGAGATCACATGGAGGGTTAGCAACAGGGGAGTGGGAGGAGGAGAGAAGGGTTTGAAAAGGTACAGAAAATAAGTAGCATAGAATGTAGGTAGAAAATAGACGGGGGGAGGGTAAGAATAGTATGGGAAATGTAGAAGCTAAAGAACTTATAACTATGACACATAGACATGAACTAAAGGGGGAATGTGGGTGGGAGAGGGTGTGCAGGGTGGAGGGGAGTAAAGGGAAAATATGGGACAACTGTAATAGCATAATCAATACAATATATTTTTTAAAAATTTACATTAAGTGGCGATAAAGTAAAAGATAGAGAGAAGGGGAAAAGTTTCTTGGAATGATTTCTGAAAGCACCCAAAGAAAGAAATCAGCTTTAAACATTTAACAAACCTAAGTAAACACCATAGCAGCTAACTGAAGCAGTAAAGAATTATGAAGCTTCCACTTCTCCTTCTCTCTCCTTGGAGAAGTCAGAAATTACAGATAACAAGCGAGGAATGGGAGGAGGGAAAAGGCTATACTCTAGACACGGGGAAGCTTCATTTATAACCTGAGGCTGGATATTCTAATTATTTACCCGAGGATGTTTTATTATCTGAATATGAATAGAAGTCTCAGTGGTAAAAACAAACAAAAAAAAACACAATAATTAGCCCTATTCAATACATCTAAAGTGAAAAGAGCCCTGGCTGGTGTAGCTCAGTATATTGAGTGTGGGCCTGTGAACCAAAGGGTTGCTGGTTTGATTTCCAGTCAGGAAGGCACATGCATGGATTGCAGGCAACAGACAGGTGTGAGAGCAACCACACACTGATGTTTCTCTCCCTCTCTTTCTCCTTCCCTTCCCCTCTCTCTAAAAATAAATAAATAAAATCTTTAAAAATAAAAGGGAAAAGAAACATAAAAGTAGTTATTTTTATTATACTTTATTTGTGGGCTCGATCAAAATATTACATAACTCTGAGATCTCTCTTAGAAGGCTATGAGCTCTTCTCATTATAGTGCCATTCATTGCCAGATGGTGTCTTCCATTGGGTGTGGAAATTGTGTTGCAAATTGCTGAGTTCTTTTTCAACTAAAAGAGCACATGCTTTATTCTCATAAGTCATTAAGAGCCTCAAGAGACTAAAACCTTCCTAATGAATTTCAGACACAGTCAGCACCACTCCTCTCTCCAGGGGCTTTGAATGAGATAAAGCAGCAGGCACAGATTCACTTTAAAGGACAGAGAGAAGCATGTGCTGTTGTTCTGTGGAATCTCTCACCTGACTCTTCTGGTGAGTTCTGAAACTCTGAAAGGGTATGCTAGATGATGCTCCTGAAGCCTGCTCCAAGAAAGGGTTACAATGGGACAGGGGTAGGGAGAGGCAGAGACTTGGGTGGAGGTTATCTGATAACAGCATCTTAGAGTGATCAGAGAAGCTGGAAAGTTCCCTTGACTTGGGGGTCTTGTTTTGGAATTTCCACTAAATGATTTTTTAACTGTATTTATCTGGCCAGCTCACTTTCCAGAGTCAACTCCTTGGGACGAAGGATTGTCTGTCTTATTAACATTGTTGAAAGGTCAGGGAGGAAAGCAAGACTCAGCGTATAGGAAAGATAAAGAAATCCGGGAGCACAGTGGTCACAAACTATCATTCCATGACTCAAACCAAAAGCTGAGCCAGGAAATGGGGTCAAACTGCTCTTGTATTATGGATTCTGCAATAAAATATGTAAAAGTTCCCCAGCAGATTCATAGAGTAGGAGAAATCAGCTGTAAACTTGAGATGAACTATGAACACCTCAGCATTTCTTTCACTATGCATGATGTAGATTGAAACTGATGGTCTTTAAAGGAGCCTTTCTATACATCCCTCCAACCCCATGTCTACCATATTTTGCCTTTTTTTCCAGCCTCCTTAGCAAATCTTCTTGGGCATTCTTTGTGTGACCAAAAATTACAAAGTAAACTAAAAGAACAACAGAATCATAAAGTATCTTAGAATATGTTCTTTTAAAATGATAAAGAAGAGTTCACTGAAAAAAGAATCATTTTTCCCAAGCTCATACAGCCGGGGCATGTCAGAGCCAGGGTTAAATCCCAGGCCTCCTGACCCCCAGCCCAGGTCCTTTCTCTCTAAACCACCCTGGCTCCTGCATGATTTCAGTTAAAGAAAAGGTTCTGGATTCCAAATAAAATACAGCCAGCATGGGAGACAATTACTTTCCACATCATTTTCTCCACATAAATTTGACTTTAGCATTCCCTTTGTTCAAAGGCACCTGAGATATCTCCGTTCAGAAATGTGTACCTGTATTTTCCTTTTCAAATTCTCCAATACTTTAATGATGACTTAAAGATCTAAATAAGATATTAGAGAGTGTTAACAGATTTTTTAATGGAGATTTTATCCCCTACTTGCATGTACAACAAGGCAAGCTCACCTCATGGGCTTCAGTGTCCACATCTGTGAAGAATAGAATGAGTAATGGGCTACAAAAACCCTTGCAGAGTACCTAGGAAATGCACGTACTCAACAAGAGTAGTTTTTCCTTACTATATTCTTTCCTTCATACTCATCCAGACAACCCAGAAGGTCTGTGGACATTGGATATGACAAAGAATGTGAACCTGGGACTGTTCAGGTAGACTTTTTGCCATAAATACTAAAACTTAGGTTTTTATGCCCAAATTGGTTCTGGCCCTGGCTTCACAGATTCCTGCTTTTATTAAAGCCTATTTTCCTCTCCTTTCTCTTTCTGTTTCCTTTACATTAGCTCAGTTCTCTTGTTTTCTCTGATCACCTCTATGAGACTCTGTATAAAAAATGGGAACTGTAGTCAAGTGGGAGAGACAAGAAGCAAACAAGGTCAATCAGTCCTGGATCCTGAAGAATCACAGTCCCAGACAAGAGACAGGCATGCACAGACTGAGCTCCTGGACCAGAAGAGATGCAACTGATCACACAGAGAAGTAGCCACTGACTCTGTGGAAACCACACCAAGATCTGAGTTTTATACTGCCAGAGAAAATCCAGGAGGTGTCCTGGGCTGGTGATGTTGCATCACATAGCATCTCTGTGGCTCCCAGGTCCCCCTCCACCTCCATTTCCATCAAGAGGAATCTGATTATGCTGTGGTCTTGCTTTGCTAGATATTGGAGAGGAAGGAGAAGGGGGAAATAGTAGTGTATATTTCTGAAATTCCTCTTCCAAAAGAGGGTACCTTCTAAGCCTGAAACTTGTCTTTCAGATGAAAAGCCTAACCTATCTTTATTCACAATGAGAAAATGAATATGAAATGGTTTCAAAACATTAGAATGATAGCAAACCAAACTATATACTCACTCTCACAGAGAAACAGTTGTGAGTTAGGCTCTAGGAATTGAGGATGTAATATGTGTAAGAAAAATAGTAAATTCAATGCATGATGGGGAAAGCAGTGCCTAAATGTGGGTGAGTTAATAATGGGGAAGTGGGGGAAAAGTAGAACTCTACAAATATATAGGTGGAAGAGTTGTGAGAGTATATAAACCTCTGCATAACCTGCATGTCATGCATATATAAATGCTACATACATGTCAATGTGGACTGAGCACAATAAGGCATGTGCATGTTCAAGAGTATACAAGTCAAGAGGTAGTATGCAAATACATTTATACACTAAGAATAAATGGTGAGAGACAGAGCTGTGGGTGAGTGGTTTCATAGAATATGAGTGGGATCTAACATAAGGCTGGTGTGAAGGGTCATGAATGTGTTTATGTAACAGACATTTTGAGGGTACATATGACTGTGAAAGTCTGCCTTTGGAATAAGGCCCCCCCTCAGGCTGCATGATAGTGCACCTATTGAACATTAAGGGAAGAATTCATAAGTTTTTAACATAGCTTTGTGCTGTTGCAGAAACATGGTTTCTTTGTTGCTTTTTTGCAGCAACTCTGACAATGGAAAGCTGAGGTCTGGAGGCAGTCATTTCCTCCACATCCTGCAGCCCCTCCCTCTCCCTGACCAAATACTCATAACTTAGACTAGCTCTGGGGAATGTCTCATTAGTCAGTGACAGATCTAAATTAAACATATTCAAAGGTATATTTAAATGAATACTTCCGAGTGCTATTGATAATTCAGATTCCTAGTGTCCTTTTATACATTTCCATTCAATTACCCTTCTAAAACACATTAAAATTGTGAAAATATAATTTAAATCTTTTCCTTGTAAGTAATTTATATTTTTGAAGGATTTGTCAATGTCTTTCTTCTTCCATTAAACAGAGGAAAATAGTAACCCAGCCTGTGTGGCCAGATGATCATAAAATATAAAGAAAGGATATCATCTGTGTAGACATCATCTGTTGTGCCTCTCACTCCTTGGTTTCTTCTCCTCCAGTAAGTGCACCTCTCAGAAATCTCCAAGTCCGAAGGTCTCACCCTGAAGAGTGTCCTGGCTTCCTCCTGCTATGGCATTGTTCAATGTCACTCATCCTGCTTCCTTCCTCCTGACTGGTATCCCTGGTCTGGTGAGCTCTCACTCTTGGCTAGCAGGGCCCCTCTGTGTAATGTATGCTGTGGCCTTTGGGGGCAATGCAGTGATTTTGCAGGCTGTGCGAATGGAGCCCAGCCTCCACCAGCCCATGTACTACCTCCTGTCTTTGCTGTCCTTCAGTGATGTGGCCATGTCCATGGCTACACTGCCTACTGTACTCAGAACCTTCTGCCTCAATGCCCGCAACATTGCTTTTGATGCCTGCCTAATTCAGATGTTTCTCATTCATTCCTTCTCCATGATGGAATCAGGTATTCTCCTGTCCATGAGCTTAGACCGCTATGTGGCCATTTGCAATCCCTTGCACTATGCCACTGTGCTCACCGATGGAGTCATTGCTGGAATGGGTATAGCTGTGACTGCTCGGAGCTTCATTACCCTCTTTCCTCTTCCATTCCTTATCATGAGGCTGCCTATCTGCAGATCCAATATTCTTTCCCACTCCTACTGCCTACATCCAGACATGATGAAACTGGCCTGTGCTGATATCACTATCAACAGCATCTATGGACTCTTTGTTCTTATATCCACCTTTGGCATGGATCTGTTTTTTATCTTCCTCTCCTATGTGCTCATTCTGCGTTCAGTCATGGCCATTGCTTCCCATGAGGAACGCCTCAAAGCTCTCAACACATGTGTGTCACATATCCTGGCTGTACTTGCATTTTACGTGCCAATGATTGGGGTCTCCATAGTGCACCGCTTTGGGAAGCATGTCCCACGTTACATACATGTCCTCATGTCCAACATCTACCTTTTTGTGCCCCCTGTGCTCAACCCTCTCATTTATAGCGCCAAGACAAAGGAGATCCGCCAAGCCATTGTCCGCATGTTTCGCCACATCAAAATGTGACCTTTGCTTTTGGCTTTAAAATCTGATGTTTATTGTAGCCATAGGCTGCCACCCATTGGTATTATCATGATTATTGTCATCATCATCATTTCATCATCAAGAATAAGATAGATATGTGTACTGGGGAAAATAGAATGATAAAACTTGTAACAAAACAAACAGTAGTAGCTTCAGCAAACATCAGTGGCATTATTAGAAAGATAAATATCAGAGGAAATTGAGTTATTAGACAAAACTTTACAGAGGAAAGTTAGCCCAAGCTAGGAATCATTTTCTACAATACAATAATATGACTAATGTAATGATAACTAAACATTGACTCTTTAAAGTGGCAGGTTCTGTTCTGTTCTAAATTATTTATGTGCATTAATTCACTTATTCTTCATAACAGCCCTAAGAGGTGCAGAGAATTAAGTAAATTGTTCAGGGTAACGCAGATAATATGTCATTTAGATGAGATTCAGTACTAGTCTGGCTCCATAATTTGTACCAGCCTCTCTGTCTAATGGCATCACTATTAATACCACCATTCCTTCCTTGCTTTCATACCACTTTCACTCCCCAAAATTCATGAGCTGTTTTGACCTCACAATGAGAAACTAGATGCACTGTCAGAACTTGCTATAAGATATATGAACAAACATGACCCAGGAGATAGAGTAGACATCTATTTAAAAAAAAAAAAAACAAAAACAAACTTCTAGATTCCTCTGTTTCCTTTATCTGCCCACCACTTAATCCTCCCCCAAGAAAAGCAATGTTCAATAGCTGAACCATAAAATTTTTGACATTATACTAGACACATGACCTCCTTCTTTTCCCTTTTGGGTTTTTAATTTGCTTCCACACAATAACATAATAAGAGACATTAGAAATTGTGTCCTACTAGAATTTCCAGTTACAAAAAGGGCTGGGATAGTCAAAGTAGAGCATTTATGATTTGGACATCAGAAAATAATTTTTTCAGACCTTCTCTTAGATTGATGTTGCATACTCTTTCCTTGATATCAGAGAAATAGAATTCAATAAGAAGTCTTTTGGCCTAATTTTAGTGGTCTCAGACTAAACTCATGCTTACTTCTAGACTAAAATTAAGGTGATGCCCTACAGAGTCTAACCTAACTCACCAGTGAAACTGGGTCAGAGACCTCATACCAACAGAGCACATAGTTATCTAGAGTTTTTATCTTTGTACTATGTTCTACTGAGAAAATATCAAGGAGAAGTACCAAGTGCCAGATGGAGGAAACTATTTCTGAATGTAGATCATGTAAATATTTGGGATCCAGTGTTTCCAGAAACACATTGCTAAGTTTAATAAGAGATTCACAATGTATGTGTCATTGTCCACTAAATAAACCATTTTGAGGAAATGATTGAATATACCTCAGCATAATTTTATATGAAAAATAATTGAGGTATTAGAGATCTAGACTCAGAATATTGTCTTAGTCAATTTAAATAATGAGCTTTCTAATTCATACAAGGAACTATTGCAACATCAAATAATAATAATAATTTATAATGCCTTGAGAGTTTAGTTTAAATGAATATATAGAGGCAAAGGCAAGGCTTGGGAAAGCTACTGTATGAAAATGAGGGAAACACTGAGTCCCAACCCAGGGAGAGATGGGAAGACATCCTTTTGACCACAGGCTGAACTTTGAAACCCAATGGTATAACAGGAGAAAAGATGAAGGGCAAGGGAGTATGAGCCTGTTAAAAGATCTTCTGGCTACTCTCCACTTTATTTCCTTTCTTTTTGCTCCATCATAAATTAGAAATGCTGCTTATTTACAGAGGATAAGGGAAAAACATTTTTAGGTTTTGTCTTTTCTTTTGAGACAGGAGCCATAAGAAAATTTTAAGGCCACTCTTGCAATTTATGTTTTAAGAAGGACTCACATACAGTCCTATTTTGGGCCTTAAGTAGAAATTCTTTGTTAACTCTTTGTTTAACAGGATTGTTTTTACAACTCACATTTTTTCCCTCTTGGTGATAAAATACTTAGACTTTGGTCCAGTAAAAAGAAGAAAAGAAATTTCATACTTCTTTATTTTAAAGATTTTATTTATTTATTTTAGAGAGAGTGTAGGGAGGGAGGGAAATATCAATGTGTGGTTGCCTCTCATGAGCCCCCTACTGGGGAACCTAGCCTGCAAACCCAGGCACGTGCCTTGGGTGGGAATTGAACTGGTGAATTTTCAGTTTGCAGGCCGGTACTCAGTCCACTGAGCCACACCAGCCAAGGCTATACTTTTATTTTGAGCCCAGTAGGCCTACCTCTAACATAAGAAAATGACACTGAACACACAGGCTAAGCTAGTGAGAGGACTATTTTGAAGTTAATGAGAAAAAAATTCTGAATAAAAAAGGTCATTATTTTGTCTTGCCTTGTCATGGGAGCTTATCTCATGCTCAGGGCCCATGCTGGGTGGGTTGATGAAGAAAGAGCGAGAGAAAAGAACCTACAACAGGAGATTAAGAAAGAATTCTTGATCTCTGTGCCTCATAGTTAAGACTCATAGAAAAGTTAATATAAACAAAGTCTGATAAAGAATTGAAACAAACACACAAATCCATATTATGTGGACTTGTATGAAATTAATTTATGTCAGCTCAGGAAGTGGAAAAACCTTCAGAAACTGGAACATGGTAGAAGAGGGTAACACACCGGGCCCTGGGCATGGCAGACCATCAGTCTTGCTGTCTGAGTACCACAGAGAGGTCCAGCCTCACTTCACAAAACCATCTCCAGACCTGATCAGCTCTGCTGGGGCAAGACTACTACACTCCTGCAGTTACAATTCAGGTGGACAAGAAGTGCACTTTACCCAGAAACTATTTTTAAAAGAATTAATAGGAACAGGGCACAAAGAGTCTATCTTCTTTTTTTTTAATAGATAATTTTTTTTATTATTGTTCAATTACAGTTTTCCCCCATTACTCTCCCCTGCCCTACCCACCCCCGACCTTCAACTACCTTTGGAGTTAAGGTTATCATAGATGTGTCCAACTAGGAGTAGGTGGGTGTAGTTTGTGTTCATATTTATAAATTTCTTTTTATTTTTCTTTTCTTCTATTATCCATGGAAAACTTATTTATCAGCTACATAAAATAAATACAGGAGACAAATTATCCATTAAGCAATCATTTTATTAGTTTGTTTTGTACATGTGTAACTCAGAGGTCAGCTGATACCACCTAAGCATTTCATATTTTACTGAAATTTATGTAAACCTCCAATACTCTTCAAGAGAAAATATAATCCCCTGCCAAAACTTTCTTTAAATTTGTGGAGTTATGACTCCACTTACCTAAAACACTGGTATGTGACAGGCTATATTAAAAGTTTAGATGACAGAGACCTCAACTAATAGAAATGCGTAAAGCAGAATTAGTTATTGAATAATCTTGATCTTGTATCATTTACTGCCAGTCATGTTTCCTCAGAAAATTTCTCCCCAAACTGTTTTTCAGCCTTCATTCCTCCTGCCCTCTGGCATGTATTGTAGATACTGTCTTCTACTCAACCCCAGATCTAAAAACTGTGGAGAATTCTGGAGGGAAACTATATAATTCTGGTGGAAAACTATTTTTTTCACAAGCTTTTTTTTATTTTGTTTGCTTATAAGATACACAACAGCTGACTTATTTATTTATTCAACAATATTTATTGAAATCTAAAATGCAGCCAGCACAGTATTAGGCCCGAGAGCTCAGTGATTATGGAATTTAATCACTGGGTTTTGTGAGAGAACCCTACCTGAAAAGAGGTGGAAGGAGTATGCCCAAGTCTCCTGAGATGTGTTTAATAAATACATGCTTCCTTTCAGGATCCCCTGCAAAACTACACCGTGTTTCGAGTGGGTACACTGTGATGGGGGATGTGGAGAAGTGTAACTGGTTGGAATGTAGTCACTGTTCATTCGAACTGTGCAAAGCTTTTGTGTTTAAGGTAAACATCCCATATCAACGGGCTGGGGGAAATAAGCCTCCTGCATGGCAATCCTCATTGTTGAAATAAAAGACAGACTATAAACGACGGTGGATCAGAATCAACTTTAATTTTTAGTCTCACCAGTGAGAGTCGAATTCTTCTGTAAATCTTAAACAGTTTAGAACTGAAAGAGTGCTAAGTGGCATTTTCTATATTTGACATGATATTATGAAAAAAAATTGTTTTGTGTAATATTAATACAAAAAATCTGACAGTCAGCAATTTAATAACCAAATTCTCAAATAAGTTTCGAAGAAGCAAGTAAAATAAATCTGAAATCCAAACAAAAGAAATTCCTGCTAAACAAATTTAAAACCTTATGTAACTGTGTTAAAGACACTAGATTTGAAATATTTCCCATGTCAATTACTCAGCTTAGTTATGGAGATTGATGGTTTCTTTCAACAGGAACTATCATGCCACACTTAGAATCCAAATATCTATAAGAACATTTTACAAATAAAGTAGAAAAACAAGTTTAGGTTGATTAAGAAAAAAGCACTTATACAACTAAGGTATAAATTAAACAATTGGGCATTATTTTAAAATCAATCCTTTTTTATATTCAATGTCATGTCTTAAAGAAACCCCTGTGTCTTCAGTTCACATATATTATACACAAGGTTATAATTTTTCATTTCCTTAGATATCAGTACACAGCTTGAATACTATGTGACCACTTTGAACAAATATAACTTACCTCAGAGAGAAAAAGCTTTTTCCAAGTCAGGTAATTAGGGAACTGGTCAATATATATTAGGCAGCAATATTATATATAATATATATATAATGCATTATATATATATAATGTATTATTTTTTCATATTAGAAAATAAGAGCTTTTAATTTTCTGTCTCTTCAACATGTTTCTCTATAATGTATATATAGCATAAACAGGTTATATGTACTGTGTGTATGAGCAGACTTGCATGTGAACCCCAGTAGTCTTTATCCAACTACCAACTGGAGGGTGAGTCCTTCTGCAACACTGAAAAAAAT